AAAATTTCCACATAGAAATCCTCAAAATTTATGAAAACGTTCGGAAATTCGTCGCGGAATCCGGCGAGACATCCGCATGTTCATTCTGCAGATTCATTAGGGTTATTTGAAGTGGACAGTGGCAAATGTTGTCTTCAGACGGTTGATTGATTTTTGTGGAAAAATCAAAATCATTCTGCTAAATAGCAGAAAGATTTTGAGTTTTTAAATTTAACAAAATTTGATTGAATAAATTTAAAATTTTGTTAATTTAATTTAATTTAATAAAAATATTAAAATTTTAAAATAAATTTAAATTTTAAAAAAATTTCTGCTAAATCATTTAGCATTTTACTGCCATAACAGGAATTGTGTCGCAATTGCGCACATCTTCAACAGCAAATTGTGCAGTTGGAAATGGACAGCGGCAGTCGATTGATTGCCATAACGAATAAGCAGAGAGACGAACACGAACGCTTCGTGCAGTCGGTTAAGGCTGAGAAAGTGCAGGTTCGAATCAGAAAATCACCTGAAGTTTTTTGAATTTTGAGAAAATTTGATCGTCATGATTTGAATTAATCTACCGACATCTTGAAAATTTTTAGCGGATGCCGGCGGGAAGTTTGGGAACTAAAATTTTTCTCCGTTTCAAGCTAGGAGCAAACGCAAAACTCCGACAACGAAATACTTTTGTATCTCAAGTGGTGCTAGGATCCGGCTGACAGTCGGTTGGAAAAATCCGACGGTTTCAGTCGGAATTCCGGCTGTCCGAATGACGAACGAAATGCCCCAACTCGGTCGGATTCTGAGCGACTGGCTGAAATTTCGCCGCTCAAACTCCATGTCTCTCTAATCTGAAGCGTTTTGGGGTTTGTTTGCAGGTGGAACGTATCATCGAGAATCGTGATCGAGTGCACAAGAATCGTGTTCAACAGCTGGAAGGTCAACTGAACACGCTACGTGAGCAGTTGGCCGAAGAGAGGCGTAGACATCGCGATATGGCCGATCGAATCATGATCAACGATATGAGCAAGATGAGCACGGCCGCATCTGCTGCGGCGGCCACGTGGGGCAGTCTCGGAAGTTACAGTACAGCGCCAGTTTCGAGAACTGGAGGCTTGATGGCGATGACGGGCACTCAGCTGCCGCCGCAGAAACTGGACAGTAGCTTCGATTCTCTATTCGGAAGGTGTGTAAATTGGCAATTTCACTTCTGTTGCCCTCCCCCCCCCTTTAATTCTCTAACTTTTTTAAGTGTCTTTTGCACCAGCTTTGCATTCCTGATGATTTTGTATTTTAAAAATATCATTTTGTGTTTCTGCAGGCTGCTC